CCGATGGCCCCCATCCGCGAGGAGTTTCAACAGGCATCCGGGAGTATTGTTTCAATGAATACCATCCGTAAGGAAGCACATATGCTCGGTTAATGTGGTGCAAAGCACATCGAAATTGGACCGTAGATCAGTGGAAATGGGTTCTCTGGAGTGACGAATCAAGGTTCACACTTTACCGTTCGGATGGTAGGGTCTGGGTCTGGCGTCTACCTGGAGAAAGTCTCCTGCCAGAATGCTTTGTGCCAACAGTCAAGTTCGGCGGAGGTGGAATTATGGTCTGGGGGTGTTTCTCCTGGTATGGGCTGGGACCCTTGGTCCCCATTCATAGTAAGCTCAACTCCGATGCCTACTGCACTATTTTGTATCACAATGTGCTTCCTACGTTGCGGCAGTTTTACGAGTTGGACCCCTGTTATTTTCAGAACGACAATGCCAGTTGTCATGTTTCGACGTTAACCAAGGCTTGGTATGGTGCCAATGGAGTTCATCGAATGGACTAGCCTGCCCAGAGTCCAGACCTGAACCCTATCAAGAACCTTTGGGACGAGTTGCATCGCCGAATTCAGGGGTGCACTACCCGTGCAAAATCGGTGAAGGAACTACTATGTCTTCTCCAAGCCGAGTGCGAAGAAAATACCACTAGCTGTCATACAAAGACTTGTGGAAAGTATGCTCCGGAGGGTCCACGCTGTAATTACCTCTCGTGGAGGCTCTACCAACTATTGATTTTGAAAAAAGTTAGTTTTTCTTTTCTATCACAGGTGTCCAAATACTTATTGGTAGTCAGTGTATAAACAGTGCAGTTTATTAGTATTTATATTTCTTTAAAAACTTAATTTTGGAGCAAGATCTATAACTGGGTATTTCTGTATGAAGAAGTATTTTCTAATCCTTTCTTTCTGAACATTATATTGTTTAGCATTTAAAGGCAAGAATTGTTTTAAATTTGCTTTTATAGTGAAATATATACATTCAGTTATAGGAATTTCAATCAGGGTTTTGGATTATTTGCTAAAAGAACACTTTTATAATTTTAAGCAAATATGCATTGCTTTCTAATAAACTACTTATTGAGGTAGTTGATTTTGTTATTTCCGAATACAGTCCGCAACAGAATCACTCCTATCATAGATTCTGTAGCACTGCTGACGACTGCATGCAGAATAAATAGCATTTTATAATCTTAAAGCTGAAGTTTTACTTCAAAAATAATCATAGTATTTTAATTTATTATCTTATGTATCGTTTTGGTATCTTTTAAGCTTTATGATTGGAACTGAGAGGGCGATAACTCAAATATCGTCTCAAGCGGGAGGTCTAACTACTTCGTAGAAAGAAACCTAGCTGTTGTGCTACAGTATGTTTTTGTCACTCAACCTTTTCGGGTGGCCTATAGGGACCAATGTTTTCTGTATTAGGGCCATTTAGTCAGCTATTTTACAGGAAGGAGCAGTAAAACAAATCAACAGGGTCATACACTTTCTACTCCATATTAAAGAGTAAATTTTAAATCTCCACAATTTACTGAAATTTCCTGACACACATTTAAACTGGTGAACGTGAGGGACATGTATGTTCCAGCCCCCTGAAAAAGCTAAGAAATTCTGTAGTAGGTTTAAAAATCATGTAGCTATGTTTTCTGTATTTATATCTTTGTGATTCAAATGAGAATACACTTTTATTTAAATTATTTGGATTTGAGTTAAAAATTAAGAAAAAAATATTTAAATATTTGCGATAAACTCTAAAATTATTATATATATGCCTTTTTTTTACTGATACATTTTACGCAAATCTGCTGAAAGCAATTACCCATAGAAGTTATTGTCTAGTCATTTTTAATGAAATGAAACTACGGGAATAAGTTTCACTTATTTTTTTATGGACTCAGCTGCATTTTATATAAAAAATTATACATTTTTATGTGCTCATAGTTTGATGCGCACATGTTTTCCTGCATTCTGTTTCATACAAACTGAATAATAACACGAGATCGGCTGAAATATTCAAAACATTTCTTGCGTAAGTTTTTAATGTACTTGCAATTAAGATTGGACCAATTAGCTGCCATTTTGAATTATGGTAGAGCATGTAAGTACTATCTGACGAAGGGCCGATGCCTTCGAGAGGTATATTTTCATAAGACCTGTCACATATCTAATGCAAAAACGGGATAGCTTATCTCAAAAAGCTGTCTATTATTTTATCCTTCTCTAAGCAAATATTTTCAAGTATCTAATGTAGTTAATTAAGCAAAACATCCTAAGAAAGGAAAAAAAAAGCTGCTGATACATTTTACTTATTATATAGTTATTATTTATATTATATAATATTCTGATATGCATTAATTAAAAAAAATCAAACTTTTCTTAATTTGGGGCTCTCACAATCAAATAAAAATTATCTACTTTTAGAGAAAATTGAAGCCATGCGAATCATAGATAATCGTGTACAGTGGTTTATATTTGTTTTCGGTCATTTGTTTTTCAGTTTTATTTGTAAGTACCAATAACTAAATATTAGTGAAATAGCCTAGCCGCCCAGAAGGTACAGGGGTTAGGAAAACCGACTGAGATAGCAAAGGGGCTCGGGTTCGAATCCCGCGAAGGCATGGCTGTATTTGTCCGTCCCCCAACCTATTAATCGCCTCCATAATAAAGTGACCATTGCTTCTGGCCTTAGTAGCGGTCAAAGCCTGCGGACGGTTTGGCCCCGCCATTGAAATAAAAAAGTGAAGTAAGCTTATTCTTCTTTCACGTATACAAGTTTTAAACTTTAAAATTTGCTTGTGAAACAAATTATTCGAAAGGTTTTTGATTAAAAAATGAATAAGAAAGTTCTGGACATGAACTCATATAAGTATTTGAACAAACAGCTTATATTTAATATGAGCATGAAAATAATAAACATTCAATATTTCGTTACATATTTTTAAACTAAAATTATACTTTACATATGCTTTGGCTTGGTTTCAGCAAATGTTTTTCGTGCAAAAATGTTCTACTTTGTTATATTTCCTCGTAAGAATGACTGCTTTTAGAATTTCTGCTTTTTTTCCTGCTGTGTAATTCCTGCTTTTAAATGAGCTTTGAAAGTAATGTAACATTTCCCTATTCTTTTCTTCAACTCACTCTATCCACGTCCGGTAGGAGAGAATATGGAGAAGTTTTGATTACTTCAGGACAGTTGTCTAATAATCACAAATGAAATTTTAAGACTGTTTATTTAGGATCATTATTCTGAAAGAACTTGAATTTATTTTGCACTCCAAGTTTTCCTGCAAATGTTTTCGGGTTTCACTCAGAATATTTGTACTTTTATACTGATCCGTATTATTTTCTATAAAAATTAAATTTCCTATCCCAGAAGCAGCGAAACGTTCCCGAACCACTATGCCTTTCTTCCCTTGTTTAACGCAAGGCATTGTTTTAGATTAAATTCTTCATTTAGGCTTCGTCACACAATAATTTGTACATGGAACCCAAATATATTAAATTTTTACTGAGATGCAAATATAACATTGTTTCAATGAGATAAATTTTTGCTTATCGTGGATTTTGTCAATGTAAGCATATTTTTACCCCCCATCGAGTGGAACTTTTTCTCCTTGTTAATAGCCCACTGTATCCATAGGCCCTAAGTTAACATTTATTGCAACAATTCTACCAAATCTGCTTCAAATTTTAAAGCACTAGTTTTTGAAGTTTGATTTTTAATAAGATAAATCTCTGATTTCTTGGTGTTAGTTTGGTATGGAGCTTAGACTTCATTTTCAACAACTTTAGGCAATTTCCATTATTTTATAACATTAAAGATAGTTGAACGCATTACACCAAGGATTTTTTAGTTATTTCAAATACGTTTACTATCTTTAAAACGGTAAATAATTAAATTTCTAATAGAATTTGACGTTAAATTGTAACTTTTTATCATATTCACTTCATATATGGAAATATTAATATATTTAGCTAAACAAGTAATAATTTCAAAATAAATAAACAAGTAATAATCATCACTTTTGAATAGATTACTTTATTACAAAGAATGGATATTTTTATTGTATTTATTGCTTCTTTCTCTTGTGAGATTCCGCACCCAGTGCTTTAAGACTTTCCGCTTGTTCGGATTTTTTTCCTCATTTTTATGCCATTAGGAACTTAAGAAATATAGACTGCGAAAGGCCTCAACAGACCGTATGCCTTTTACACGAATGATGATCTGTGATTGTATTTATTGCGCAACAAGCAAGGCTTAAATCAGAGAAAAAATAATTATTAGGCGGAAAAATTGATGTTTCACTATTTAGTACAAGATCTATACAAATAGTTTAGAAAACAAAAAGAATTGAGATTTATCTTAATATTTAATTAACTTGACAGATCTAAACGTCGTACGAGCTGATACGGTTATCATATCAGTACTTCACTTGAATTATTTAATCACTTCATTCTGAAGAACTATCTCACTCGTTTAAGTGACTTCTTTCTGGTAAGACACAATTCTCAATAATAAAATTTCGCAATTTTTATCCTTTATTTTTTCTTATTTTAATGGGAAATTTTATTCATTGGTCTTGAGGCAATTTCCCATCTTTAATTTACTGAATTTAAGCTGGAAATAAAATTTTTAGGCTTCATACAAAGTTTCTAGCTTTACATTATCAAGTTATGTAGTTACTGAACGTTATCAAAACATTTAGTAATTAGAAGGGGCTGGTATTTCTTTGTTGGTATTGTAATGGTTAAAATTCTGTGCAAACTAAAATTGATTCAAGAAAGATTTTATCGTCCGATTTGCAGTTTATAGTTAATTAGTTCTCTTTTTGTAAAGTACTTTAAATTTTAAGAATGATTTTTAAGTAATATGAGTAAAAAAATTTAAAATAGTAATAATATTATCAATTTCTGTCCCTTTGTAAATAATAACTTAAGAAGTTTTACGGTTTAAGTTCTACTACTTCACACAGCGAAATCCGACTTGGCTGGCAACAATATGTACGGAGTTGAACAAGTGCGTTTCGTGCTGTGCTGCATGTAGTCTTAAGCAGCGAATTGAATTAAAGAAACATTGTGGTAAAAAACCGCAAAAAAATTTTATGTGGCCGGCATGTCGCAGCAGCAGGCCAAAACTTTTGAAATTTTGGAAGAATAAAGACAGTCTGAAGAAAAAAAACAGGTTAGATTGTAACCCCAAAGTTGGACTGTCCTAACGGAAAATGATACACTGATAGAATTTCCTACCGCTAAGGCGTGTGAAAATAACGTTTTGGTATTAATATTTTATTCTGTGCATAAATTTAACTTAAAATTCTTCATTTTGCTATGTGAAGGCGTGTTACAATGACTTGCAAAACACTATTAATGTCAGCGTCATCTTAACTCTGACTACATTTGTACTGTAGATGAGTTCTGTGTTCTGCTTTATGCTTCAAACTTTACGTGTTTTCTTAATTAAATATAGTTGCCTATTATATCTGACATATTCTTTTATGCAGTATTCAGTTTTACTGTGAAAACCCGTACTTTAATTTAAATTTATCCAAGACCGCATTAATGTTGTAAGAAGTAATTCTTAATTCTTATGGATATGTGTTGTCATGAAGCATTATGTATGATAAAGTATCGAAATTAAGCCAAGTTAAAGGCTATATTTGCAAATTAATTTAAATTTTATTGCATTCCGGGATTTATATTAAGTGCAGTATCATGTCAGCCAATTGGTTTTTCTTATTTATTGTTGTAATAAGTTTTATTTCTTCATCTTTTCTATTTAAATCAAAATTATACGTATGATTTAGTTGTTTCAATATAAATAAAAAGTTCGTGTGGATTTTCATTTAGAATTCTGTTGTTATGCGTGGTAATTTTATCTGCAGTTTTTTTTTTTTTTTTCATTCTTTCTTTCTTTTCTAATGATCCCCATTGCATGATTTTTAGCAGAGGATTGATTGTTTATATATACATATATTAAAATTCAAATGGCAAGTGAATTGCTATTTAATTTGCTAAAATAGATTTAAAAAATTTTTTTTTGATGTTTGTTATATTATTTCCCCATTCTTTTGTCTCTGGAATGTAATTCATAGATTCAGCTAAGGGTAGTAATTATTCATGTATATTACTTCTGAATTTGGGATATTGTGTGCTATACCTTTTTGCCAACTTATAATATGTATATTATTTGTGTAGGGAGAACTGCACCATGCAGGACTCAAAGTCTGGAAATTGTGTTAATGGAGTTTTCCATTCTGAAAAAGTTGTTATATTGGATGCTGGAGCTCAGTATGGAAAGGTAAATTTAAAATATTTTAGCTTTTACTGTTCAATTTTTTCTTCTCAATTTTGTAATATATTTTTTAAATTAATTTTATTGTTTATAAATATAGTATTTGGTAAAGCATATGAATTTGCATCTGTATACTTTTATGTTAGTTAATTTTTTGTCATATTAACAGGTGCAGTAGAACTAATGATATGTTAGTACATTTATTTTTATGCTAGAATTCTGAAGTAACAACTATTAAAAATGATCATTTTTCTGAAATATTAAATTTTTCAACTTCAGTCTTAACCAAGTAATAAAAAGTCTATCAAATGTAGGTGCATCAAATAGGCTTGTTATTTTGAAAAACTTAATTCCAGAGTTTTTAGAAACAACTAGTTTATAATAAATCTTGATATTTAAGATGTACAAATTATATATGTAACTAGTCTGACCACTGGAGATAACATGTTTCAATTCTGTTTAAAGAAATTTTAATGCTTCAGTAAAATAACTTGAGAATAGTAGATCAATGTATTTAATATTTAGCTCTATGTACTTTGTCATAAGCTTGTATCATTAGAGTAAAAGTAGTATTTTATAAATTTATTTCAAAATATTTTCAATGGTTAATGTGAGAACTGAAATTCCAAATCTGTTATTTTCATTTTGTCTTGTGTATTTAATCACATAAAACAACTTGCCTAAATTAAACTTTTTGTAACAAATGGGTTAAATTGCAAACTTATGAACATTTAACTATTTTTAGTTAATGCATTTTCTGATGTTAGTACTTTGTGAGTTCTAAAATTCAATACTTGATAGTTGCTTTGTTGTTGGTAAAGGGTTTTCATCCACAGAGAACCCGTTGGCGGCATTGCATTTTTACTCGCCAAGCTCGTGGTTCATTGACGATGAGGCGAGCCGTAAACGTGATTTTTAGCGCATGTAAATTCAAGTTAGCAGATAAAACAATATATTAAGCATATAGTAGTAAAAATTTACAGATAATAAGCATGTAGATATAAAACTAACCGGTTAAACATGATATACGAAAATAAATTTGTATTAAATTCGAGTTAGCACAGAAAAAAATATATTATTAAGCATAAGACAATATATAAGCATTTATAACGGAAATAAAAAATCATTTAAAAAATATAAATTAGTATTAATGTACTGAAATTTACTGGTTAAACATGATATACAAAAAAAATTTGTCTTAAATTCCAGTTAACACAGAAAACAATATATTCCTTACACCAGCAGTGATTTGCTAATTTTGATGACCATGGTGATGCATCAAACTATTCTGTCATCTTAGGTACTCAATAATATTTTTTTTATTTCAATTTAATCATCTATTTATATCACACCTGCCATCCTCTGAAAGGTTATTGTTAGAAAAGCATTAACAATATATTATCTTATTAAAATTTTACGCCATAAAAATTGATTTATTCTCATAATTTTAGATGACAATAACCAATAATAAAAATAAAAGCATTACTTAATTATTTAAAATGCACATGCACATTTTTGCAGTCTACGAAAACAAATTATTTTAGACGTTGGAAACCTCATGGTTCTTAGAGCTGTACCGGCATCTATCTATGAAAATATTTCTATCTATTCGTTGTTAAAAAATTCAGAAAAAATAATAGTAAACAAGAGAAGAATAATATAAATCTGCAAATGCGAAAAACAACGGTGGTAATTCAACAAAATAAACGCAAGAGGAATGGTTGCAAACTTCGAACAAGCGAATAGGATACATCCAACGGGTTACCAGGTTTGAACTGTAATCGCCAAAGTTGGCAATGTTTACATTTACCGGGTTCTCTGAAGTGCTTCCTTGGTAAATTTTATTGTATGAGCATATTAGCATTAGTTTATTGTGCTGCAGTGAAAAATAAAATATGCTTAAAGTTACAATAAATTTTCTATTAATTATTGTCTATTTTGTTCGTTTATGTTCTTGTATTTTGTGTGGTTTGCTTCCTTATAAATTTTCTTTCTCCTCCCTTTGTCTTTTTTTTTTTTTTTTTTAAATATCACTGTGTACTTATCTTTCTTGTTTTTATTTCATTCCATTTTCCATTGCTTATAAATTCTGTGTGGTTGATTACTTTTGCTTACTCATATTTAATGAGATTGGGATTGAGGAAGAGAACCTTTCTTTTATCTTGCATTGAGATTTTACTGTCTGATCATCAAGTAGTCTTTCATAATTTATGGTTGCTTTTTGCCTAAATTTTACGTTGGCATTTTTCTCTACTGGTTCATGTCTTTCGGGTCAACATATTATAGCTCATATGTAAGCAGTCATGCATATATATAAACTTTTTATCGTAGTTATTTAAAAATTACTAAATGTGAAAATGTTTCATGTTTCAATTTTTTGTAACTTCTAATAGAATAAGCTGGCAGTGTGGCTTTTCTCTATATTACTAGCTGCTTGCATAACTAGCTGCTTAGGAATAGTCATTATGAAAACTAAAAAGTATATAATGATTTTAGCTAGTCCAGCTAGTGTAATTTCTCGGGTTCAGTTAGTAATTGCTAATATTAGAGATGAACTGCATTTATTTCTTTTCTGTTGGGTTATCGCTTGGTTTGTTAAAAAGAAGCATATTAAATTTGAGCAAAGAATTAAATAGTAGATGCTTTGTTAAATAGTAGCACAATTTGTGGAAAAAAAAAGTATTTTATTTTGGGCAATGAAATCTTATTTCTTTTAAATCTGAGTTTTCTGAATAAATTTAAAACTGAAATATTTTCTGCTGTACTGAGTAGCAACATATTGCTTTTAAATCATCCAGTTTGTTAATCATAATGTCATTAAATTCATGCAAAATTCGGTATTTTTAATTAATCACTTTAATAAATCATAAGAACAGATGCATAAATGAGCACATATCGTTTATCATTTTCCATTGTATGGGAGAATAGAATAATAACAGAAAAGAGTAGTCGACTAGCATGAGTCCAACAGCAAATTGATAAGATGTAATGTAAGCGAAAGCAGGTAAGACCTTAAAAAGAATCCTTTGAAATGTTAACTTTTTTTTTTTTTTTATGTTCAAAATTTGGCATATTTACGTAATCTCTTTTTTTTCCATAGTGAGAAAAATATATATATACAGATTCTTCATTATTTAATAATAGATATGTAAATATGCATGAAATCTCTCATTGAATTTATTTTTTGAGGAAATTTAATAAGGAAAGTTCTTTCCTTATTCAGTATATAGTTTTTTTTTTTTTTTTTTTTTTTTTATAATAGATTGCCAGTTTAGCTAATTATTTTTTAAATCTTAGTACTTAAGAAGTTGAGTGTTATATATAAAGTAAAAATATTTCAGTATCAAACTGGCATTAATATTAAATTTCTCATCAAAATAATAATCAAATTTAACTTGTTCTATTGATTATTTAAAAAAAATGAAGTTTAGTAAACACAATTTGTATGATCAATCTTTTCATAGTATTTATAAATGGTTTTTATTTTATGAGACTAAATGCTGGCATTCTTTTTATTCCTCTCATATATATGTATTCTTCATTATATTTATTAAGACACTGATTATTCTGTGACAAATAACTACTGTATTCAAGTAACTCATGGAAGTGGTTCATGAAAATCAAATGGGAAAAAAATATTACTATCCTCGAAAAATTATCTGTGTCGTATATTTTAAGTAGTGAAGTACTATCCAAAATAAAGTTAAATTTCTCTAATATTATTTTACAGCATTGTTAAAGAAATAAAAATTTCTGATAATAATTATTACTTAAAATTCATAATAGAAAATGGAGATGTTGGTCATTTGCAATTATTTTAAATTATAAACTTATGCAATTTAGAAGAATTATACTGTTTTACAAATGATTTTAATTCAGTTCGACTTCGCATTTTCAGGTTATTGATAGGAGAGTGAGAGAATTGTGTGTTGAAACTGAAATTCTTCCTTTGAATACTCCTGCTGAAACTTTATTAGCTCAAGGCTATAGGTGATTATTTTCTTTAAATGAAATTATTTTGTTAGAGAAATGTAAAATAGGTGAATGTTTAATAAAGACCTAATTATTTTTAATCCCATGCAACTAAACTAGTAAATGTATTAAGTAAGTACTGAGTTTTTGCAGAAAAGTCTGTGGTTGTTTAAAATGTATTTATTACTGTACGTACCAGAATTATATTGTGATTTATATGTTTATTAGAATTTTTGCTTCATTATTATATATTACTATGAGGCATTTAAAAAAAATTGTGGTAAAAATGTTAATCTGAAGATCAGTGAACTGTTGTATGGTATGTTTATTGTGTATGTAATCCAGAATAGGGTAAATGCATTTGTATGATTTTTGTAATGTGTTTCATGTATGGAAGTATTATGTGGAACAGTACCTGAAATAGAGAGGAAGAATATTATATTACTTATTATCAATTGGATGATTACTTTGCTAAGTTACATTTGATAGATTTTCTGCTTATTGAAAGAAGAAAAGGAAATATTTAAGTCAAAACTGTTAGTGTCAATGTTTATTTCATTTATCATGTGCTTTATTTTAGAGCCATCATTATATCTGGAGGACCCAGTTCTGTGAATGCTGCTGATGCTTGTTCTCATGATCCTCAAATATTTACGTGTGGTTTACCAATATTAGGCATATGCTATGGAATGCAGGTAAAAATTCATATCAAATTCTATTTAAACAGTGAAAATAAAATCTCGGTGAAAATTCTAACAATACCTTAAGATAAATTTGAGTTAATATTACATTGGTGACCTACTGTTAAACGTTTTGAGAAAGTAAACGTTCTAAATATCTTCAAGTCAAAATACATTAAATCTTGAAGTTTTCAAATTATATGTACATTTGTTGTTTCTTGTTGGGGAGGCAAAGATTTCCAGCTATGTTCCATGTGCATTTTCTGGGGCCTCATGCTCACTTAAGAAAAATAAAATAATAAAAATTGAATTACAGAGTAAGAAAATCAGAAATGTCATTCTGAAAAAGAATTTGCTGCATTGAATTTAGTATCTCCTGTAGCAGATTATGCTTGGTCATTTTGGTGCCACTAGTCCTAAAATTATTGATGGACAGACTGTGAGTTTAGTGGTGCACATTCTGTCATGCTGGTTTAATGGGCCTTCCTGAATCGGAATTTGTGAATGATTTCGTAAAATGGCACATTCAAGGTTTCTCTGTAAATATTAAACATTCGCGAATTTCTGCAATCTATTCATAGGTTTACGAAATTGAATCCCATTTTGTGAATTTGGAGTTGCTTTATAGTGAATTTTCATAACTACCCTTTTGAGAATTTTCTGTGTGTTTGACCTCTTTCCAGGGTTTAGTTGCATAGTTACTAGATATTCATTAATAAGATGTTGTATTTTGTATTACTGATTAATTCAAGTCTTGAAGCTCGATACATTTCCGGTAGAAAAATGTTACATTACTGATTGACTTAAGTGTTTTTTACACTCACTAGCCTTGAGAAATATATATATATATATATATATTATATATTATATTTGTTGATCTTGCTTGGATTATGTAGATTAGATTTCTGCACCATAAAATACTCTCACTTTGGGATATATCTTGCTTCAGTTTGTTCACAGAATTAAATGTTCTGTGTAAATAGGTTGTGTTGTAACTTGTATAATAATTGTCCAAAATAATTGATGCTCTATTAGAGAAGTTTTGAAAAATTTGTTTTTGAAAATACTAGTGCTTCAGTTGAGGGATTTATTGACCAATATTCAGTAGTACTTTCTCCCAAGGCACATTGTTAATAGTGCAAAAAGCACCTTAATGCTTTTAGTGATTTTTATTAGGATCAAATTATATCTTCAATTATAAATACTGAAGCAGCTTACTTTGTGCTTTCAGAATTTTTAGGGAAACATTTTCTAATAACTGTCTTTATATTTTGGACTATTTTTTAATAGTCCATATTGTTTTCTTTTTAACCATTATATGACGAAATTTGCATTGCATGTCATATTCTTGTTAATCAAAATCTTTAGTCTGGATTTCATAACTGCTAATAATATCTTTGATTTACCATTCCATTTTGTAATCTTTCTGAAAATGGAATAATATGAGGGATATTGATAAATACAATTAACATTCATATATTTAATATAGGCATCAACAATATATTTATCTTATTTATCAAATATAACTTTAAATGGGGGAAAGGGAAGCTCCTTTTGTGTAGCTTGTCTAAGAAACGAAAGTACTTCCTTTGTGAAAACTAGATCAAATCTGCCCAATAGAAGTCCTAATTTGACAAATAAAGTTGATTCAAAGAAAGGATGGAAATTAGTTTACAGATTTTCTTGTTTGTTTTTATAGTTCAAATTTGTCATTAAGTATATAAATGCATTTTACCCTCTAATGTAGGTTTGCATATGAAAACACAACAAAGTATAACCAGGTATTAGATTCTCTGAATAAAATTACATACAGTCAAAAGTTGTTAATGTGGACTCGTCGGGACTTCGGAGATTCCGGATTATAGATCATCAGTTTAAATCTCGTAAGATGGCATGCAGAAATTCTAAAATTAAAAATATGAAACCGTAATTTATAAAATAATGAGCAATTATGATCTAAAGGGTATCAAAATTTACAAAAAAAAAAAAAAAAAAAAAAAAAAAAGCTTAATATTTATTTGTTTACTTTATTAAACATTTCTTTCAATGTAAGTTGTTTAAGTTGCTTCGTTTTATGTGATAATACTTTCTCTCTAATTCTATAAACAGACATAATTTCTTGTTCAGTTACAAAGTTCCGCTGTTCAAGTCCCGTTAATTGCTGTGCCGAGAATACCGAATAACTTGTCAATCGAAATTTTTTCGTTTTCACTCTCTCTGTCACATTCTTCATGACTTTATCCATTTTTTGCAGCAATTCCATTTTTTGTTTGTTGGACATCGAAACATACTTTCGTTTTATAGATCCTTTGGAAGTTCCAGCATCGGAAATTCTATTTGACATAATCGAAAGTTTCAAGTTTACTTTTATAAAATTGCTCTTACAGTCTGCAAAAAATAATAAGTGGGATCCAATTCGAAGTTTAAGGAACAACGCAATTATTAACATTAACTGAAATATATAATTAGATAATTTTAGCTTACACCGGCCGTTATACATTAAACGCGCAGGCAAAAACGTATTCTGCACTTGCGCACACGCATATGCGCAGTAGTCAAGGTCTTACGCGCACGCGTAAAACGCCTGTGCGCATTTGCCAACGCGGCGCATGCGCAGAAAGTTTTTAGCTTTGAGGTCCGGATTATAGATCATTCCGGATTACGGGTGTCCGAATTAACGACTTTTGACTGTATTTATATTATTTTTAAATGAAAAATAATTATTAAGATGATCCAAAAATTGAGCCAATCACCAATAAATTTTAAAGAACAGAATCTGGCAATTTACGATAGCTAACTACAAGTTACAAAAAACTTGTAGTTAGCTATGGTTTATTTATGATTATCTAATAAATAATAGATATAGCTCAAAATAAAATAATTGCTTTGCTTTAAACATTTAAATGTGTTATTAAAATATATCACTTAAAAAATCTAAATATATATGTATGTTTAAATTTTTAAAAATGTATAACAAAATTTTCTTAAGAAAGTTTTATTACTGCTAAACTTTGAAAATTTAAATATATTTCTGTGAAGGGTATAAACAGTGCCTGAATACAGGTAGACTTACATTGATTACACAAATAATTGGTCGGTTAATTCAAGTTTGGAAGTAAATTGAACTATTAATTTGTATATATTTACAGATGATTAATAAACACTTTGGGGGAACAGTTCAGAAGAAAGATTCTAGAGAAGATGGACAGTTTACAGTTCAAGTTGATACATCATCTGCATTATTTAAGTAAAAAAAATTTGTTTATAACTGAAATCTATCCAAACCTAAATTTGAACTATTGATAAGATCTTACCATTTTTTCCTATTTGATTTGTTGTTATATTCTGTATATTTAGGGGCTTAGATAAAGAAGAAACAGTTTTATTAACTCATGGAGATAGCATGGACAAAGTTGCCGATACATTTAAAGTTATAGCAAAATCTGGCCATCATATTGCAGGTATCTGATATGATTTTTATTTTATTCAATTTTTAAGGTTTTATGGTTTCTTTTTCAATATGGATAACTTTCCAATACAGGAATTATTGTGTTGACATGCTTGATCTTCACACTGGTGGGCTCTTGTTCTGCTCTGGGTGTATTTAATTAGGCTCGTTGAACACATATTGGCACGAGTGGCATCGTTCATTAGTTTCCTAGGTAGGGGAGGTGCATGTTCTTTATCATGATCAAGGTCTACCCCTGTGCTGACTGTGGTACAGTTATTGATTGATGGCTTGCTGTTGTTTTTATTTTAACTAGCTTCTGGCGACATCTATTGACTCGAAATGGAAGTGTGATGTGAGACATCCAAGCTTCATAGAGCCAGATTTTTGAGTCTGTCATAGGAGTGCAATTCCTCTACCATCGTAACAAAAGAGCTCTTCGGTGAAGATTTCAAGAATGAGAACTCTTTCAAATTGCAGGGCATTGACTGGCTCACTTGGACGATAAAAATATTTTTTCTTTGTCTGTGAAAAAAAATCCTAAGCCCTGTTGTCATGGACATTTTTTAATAATCCTATTGCCAAATACAAGACTTTAGCAAAAGAAAAATTTGTAGGTACACTCACTATTATAGAATCATTTCACATGGTATTTTATGTTTGTTTTTGGAAATCTCGTCTCTCGTTCAGAGCATTGTGTGTTTATATTATTTACGGATTAATTTTGCCCTTTAAAATTTTCAAATTAAGAATGATGTTTCCTTTTTGAAGTGTTTATATTTTTTATTGCATATAAGGACTTGATATTTCAAATCAGAACTTTGTGTGTCTTTTGCTGTTAAAAATTTGTGATTCTAGTGGTTTTTGAGGAATAAAACAGTTTTTGTCTTTTTGAGGTGTTATTACTATTTCAATCAGGATTTGAAGCTAACACATAATTATCTAAAATCGGTGATAACAGAAGAGAGTTTATCGAAGATGGAACTCTAGATCTAGAGATTTATATCCAGTTGTAATGTAACACAGGTTTCAATGATTTACCTTAGTGTGTTAGTTAGGTAAAGGTCTTCCCCCATTTCGGTTTTTACTCTTATTGTATTGTAGTGTACCAACATTTGTTTTGACTTCCTGTTTCACTGGTATTTGCATTTGTGATATATATTGTTATGAAGTGTACAGATGTGGTAAGATGGCTTCCCCGCAAAGCAGTTTTAGGGTTGCCACTACATAACGAAGGAATGTAGGGTTGCCACAGTTGGTGAGAAATCGCCCATTTGCCGACAAAAGTGGCGATATACCATGGACGGATGGAGAACCTTCTGGAACGAATTCTTACCAGCTTAGCCCAGAATGTTCTCGAACACAAGCCAAAAGCTATATAAACCCTGCTTGTCTGCAGTCAGTGTGTGCCTCGCCTAGCGAGCTGATAGTCAGTTAGTTACGAGTTAGTGCAAGTCTCGAGTTAGTCCGTGTGAAGTTGATCGAGTTGACAGCCGGGCAGCGAGTGCCAAGTGGGTCGTCAAGTGTACCAAAGGAGTCTCTTTGTGTATCGCGGTTAGTGCATCGTCAAGAGAGTGTGTTGAGTTCTGGGAACGACTGAACCGAAGAGTCGGGAGCTGTGCTCGTGTATCGCGAGTTGTAGCGTGGAGAGTCTCGAGAGTTCCGAGAACGACGGAACAAAGTCAGGAGCTGTACTCTGGTGCTTTGCAGTGAAGCTGTCTCCACCGTTATTGCCTGACAGTGTGAAGGCTGTGTCGCTGATTGTTCCAGCGTGTTTATTGTGGATCTTCGACGACTGTAAAAGTGTTTTGGAGCTGTCCTGATTAATATTGGTAAATAAAGTGTGTTTCAATACTTCATCAAGTGTCGTCGTTATTCACTCCAAATCCACATGAACCCCGTACGAACGTGAAGGAAGAAAATAATGTAACAACTGGTGTCAGAAAAAAAAAAAAAAAAAAAAAAAAAAAACTATATATATATATTTAGTTAATAAGATTGATAAATATAGAGATGGTTTTCTTTTGTGGTATATTGTTTATATCATGAGGTCTGGGCTTATATCATGAGGTTTGCTGACCTCGTGATGATCGACAATTGAGTTGAAAAGTTGTGAATAATAACTGCAAGTGACACTACTGTTGTTTTCTGTCATTTTTAATTGTTTTTAAAAGCATTCCCAACAGGCGAATGTTTGTGCATTGTTCGTTATGTGAGCATATTGACAGTTTACTGTAGGGGTGCACGTGGTATTGCCTGTTAAGGTACTCTGGAATATTTTATTCTTTTTATTTTATTCATTACCCATGACCTCATAATGACCGACAGTTGAGTTGAAAAGTTGTGAATAGTGACTACAAGTGACACAACTGTTGTTTTCTGTCATTTTTAATTGTTTTTAAAAGCATTCTGAACAGGCAAATGTTCGTGCACTGTTCGTTATGTGAGCATATTGACATTTTACTGTAATGGTGCACGTGGTATTGCCTGTCAAGGTACTCTGGGATATTTTGTTCTTTTTATTTTATTCATTACCCACTGTTACTGTGTTACTCTCAAAATCAAATTAAGAGACCTTGAATATCATGCTTTTAAAGCAGAATGGAGTGCCAATTATTTTTTCGTGGAATTAAAATGACTAAGTTTTATGTGTTTAATACGTGATGACATAATAACTGTACAAATAGATTGCAGTATATGTCATCATTACCAAACTAAGCACACAACCCGGTATTCGGACCTCATAGAAAATGAACAATCATTAAAATTGGAAAGTTGAGAATGCATCTTTATAACACAATTTATTCGTAAAAATAAAAAATGATAATGAAGCAGTATCTAAAGTCATCTTACATGTAGCTCATTTATTAGCCAGGAAAAAAACCCATTTACTGATGTTGATTTAATTAAATCATGCTTTCCTGTGGCAGCCAAAGAAATTTTGCCTGAAAAAATGCATATGTTTTTATCTGTCAATCTTTAGGTGTGAACAACTTTTTAAAGACTTGAGGACATCGAAAGCCACATAAAGAGTCAAAAGACAGGACATAAAAATTCAAATGGGTTTCGTTCTTGATGAGTCGACAGATATTACTGATACTGCCCAGTTGCTGGTGTTTATTCGAGACGTCGGCACTGAGTTTGAGTTGATTGAAGAGTTAGCTTCTATGAATAGTCTACGTGGAACAACCACAAATGAAAATATATTGAGAAAAGTTGAGGAAACACCAACGCAGTACAGTTAAAATGCATCATGACTGATGTTGGAAAAAATATGTTTGAACCGGGGAAAAGATTAGTTGGGCAAATTTTGTAGGCTTTTGAAAATGCTAACCATTTAAACCCTCTAGTAATTCATTGTATTATTCACCAGTAAGGTTATTAGGAAGCACCTTTATCTGTTACGTTATTAAACCAGTTAGTACATCAGTAGTAAACTGCATTCTCTCTCGCAGACTGAACTCTCTCCAGTTTCATTAATTACTTCCTTCTACGAAGTAAAGTAAGCATTGTAATCGCAAAAAATTTTGGCTATCGTATTTCAATGGAAATATCTATTTAATCATTTTTTAGCGGGACATCTGTACATATGGATGGAATAGAGGATTTTTTTTTCTCCAAAAGAGGGACCTTTTAAAGTAGATTCGGAAGAGCTTTTTTGGTACTTACGTAATCTCGCAGCCAGGTTGGCGCGATTTATAAGTTTGAGTAAAAAAGTATGAATAGAAAGAAAATACACATTTATTAATTACAGATAATTTTTAATACAGTTTTTTTATATTATTTTGTTTTAAAATATAAAATAGCAATTAAACCTTTCCGGTTTCGAATTTGAATAAGTTGCAGAATTATTTTTTCGGGGAAATCTTTTGGCTATTGCTTTTAGCATTGATTGAAAACCGTTTTCGCCATTAACAGCTTGAGCTTGGTGCCATAAAATGCTTTGTCAGCAATTCCCATCTCTTTTGCACAAAGTTTAATTAAGGTTAACTTTTTACACCAACAATAAATGAAGCGCACCGCTGTCACAAATGAAATTCAGCTACCTTCAAACCAATTTCCGGGTCTCACACCCAAATGTTGATTTCACTCTTCGACGTTACATTTCCAGAAGATTTGCTTTCCAAAATACAGTTTCATTTTATGAGAATTTTTACAAGTACATTCGTTCGGCATATTTCCATATCCCTGCAACAATTCAACAGCATCTTTTTTCACTCGCAGGCAGATCCCAAATACCCATAGTTAAAGTATTTCAGGGCATTCAATCTAACCAGTAAGAAAAATAATTTCTTTACGAAAAACTACGTATAACACGTAGGGTTGCCGTAAGAAGGGTCACCAAATTTGGCGATTTATGTGAATTTTGGCCTGGTTGCATTAATACATAAGTACCTTTCTTTTTTTTTCTTTTTTTCTTTTTTTTTTTTAAACTTCTGTACATATTGTATCTTGCTTAATTAAAAAATGAGTAGCTGTTCAAATTTTATATATGGTTTTGCTATAACATGTAGTTGTACATGTCCCTTTTTTGTTACCAGCCACATCAAACATATATATATTTTTCCACCATGTTACCTGGCTTAGTGAGCTCAGTATTTTTATTCTTATATATTGGGAAATTGTGCGTTTTTTGCATTAAAAATTGGTTGAATTATTTTATTCTTATGTTCCAGTTAAGGTTTTTATGCCTTTAGTTAACCTGCATGCATTAGTTGTAGAATTATCAACAATTAAAAGTTGTTTAAGTGGTAATAAGCCTAATGAAGCAGCATTTGTTTAGATTTAGTACATTTGAAACTTAGTAATGTAGTGAATTAAGACAGTTTGTGCACCATATTCAGTGGGGTTCCCCCCCCCCTCCAGTAAGATCAAAAGTAACTTTCAATTTTGTGCACAAAAAAATCTGTCTTCCTGCCAGCCGACTGAATAGCTTGTTTTTGCATAGAAACTAACTGGGAAAAAAATTAATTTTTTAAAATTGTATTTGGTGTTTCAGTTTTCTATATATCT